TTTATATTTGAACCCCAAACAAGCATGTCATCTTCATGAGCTCTTGATCTTGTTTGCTCCCGTCCTGTGACTATTAAGTACTTGTCCAAAAATCCAAACACAGTAAGTACAAAGTAAATGTTTGACAGTTGCATGAATTTTTAATTTTTATAGGAGTAATTAATTTTAAAAAGCAAAAGACATGCATTTTTAGAAGAATGAAACAAGCTCAATTTGATAGAACATAAAAACACACACAAAACACATGCACATACATACACCCACATTCAGACGTTCAGACATGTACAAATGCACTTTAAGTACATTTTTCTCCTCTTCCATTAACCTCCCCATTGCCCCCAAGTAGATCAGTTCCTTCAAACAAAGATACCTTCACACAAAAATAAAGTTTCTGTTTCCTCTCTTTGCTGTTTATCCTTATCCCTGTGCCTCCCTAGTCAACCCACTGGGGAAGACATAAACAGATATACATAGAATTAAAGACATGCACAGAGAAATAGGCACAGGGAAGGAAATAAGGACCTCCCAGCAAGCACACTGGGGAACTGGAGATCTTATTCAAGAGAGATTTGTAAGCTCTTAATAATCACTGACTTAAACACATTGCATTTGGTTCTGAGTACTAAAGGATGCAAGTCTGAGAAGTCATGAAAAAAATCTTTTCCATCCAAGACTTCGCTTTCAGAGGATTGTCTTAGGGATGGAGTTTCTCTCACATCTTTCTCTTAGAGCTTGACACACCATCAGGTATGTGAAGAAATCTGCTGGTCTCAACCTCAATGCTCCTGCCACTCACTGCTGCTGAGAACATGAAGCCCAAAAAATCCTTTCATTCTTTCTCCCTTTGTAGGAATGGTTTATTAGGCTTGTCTCCAGACTTTTTTATAGAGTGCCTGGGATGATATGTTAACATTAAGGACTCACTCAGGAATAACAGACTATCTACTATATAACTCACTTAAGGAAAATGCTGTTCAGATGTCTCAGATATTGGGCGCGGGGGGGGGGGGGGGGGGAGTCATTAAATTCCTTTCAATAAGAAGGTAGCCTGAGTTTTGTACCACTATGTTCATAAAATTAGTCTGATGTTTTGGCTGACAGGCTATCTCTTGACAGAAGCAATTAGAAAAAGCTGATTTTTTTTTTCAGAGTTGTTGACAAGTAACAAATGGTCACCTACAAGCAGAAAGAAGCAGGCTAGCAGATTCTTTCCCCCTCCCCATTCTCTGTTGTTTTCTTTAACAGTGCTGAAGATTGAACCTAGGACCTTGTGCCTGTCAGGCAAATACTGCCACTGAGCTACATCCCCAACCCCAGAAAGCATACCTTAAATAAAAAGGAACCCCCTGCTCTTGCAATTTAAAAACAGTTCTTCCCTGGGTACGCAGCTTAAATTCTCACAAGTGGTTGGAAATAAAAGTAAGTCTGACTCCCTTATCAATTATACAGGAAGTATTTCCTAGGCTCTTTGACTTTCTTTTCTCTCTACCTTCCCATTTGTACTATATTTTTAGATGAACAGATGATAAAAGAGAGGATTTAAATTCACCAAGAGCTACTGACATATGTTCTTTGAAAGCAGAAGCAATAGAAAGGATGCCATGAAACTTGGAATTATTTGTCAATTTCATCCATATCTCTCTAACCCTGTATTCTATATGTAACTGAGATTTCACTTTAGCACAAATAACATTAACAAGGTCTTGGACATTATGAAGTCAAATAACTATATCAAGGTAGGAGTCAAGACTTGAAGGGAGTGGTTCCAGGTCACATACCATGAACTGGAATTGAATTTCTCTTCTTGGTGTCAAGAACTTTCTGGCTATAAATAGGGCAAGCTAATTCATGTCTTCAGTCTCTGGCTACTGTCTAGAAAAGACTAACACGTCTATTTTCTGTCCAATAAAATGTATGATAACACCTGTACTACACAAATTTGATTTATCTTAACTGGAATAAGTATCATGTTGAAGCCCACAGCATACAGATGAGTGTGTTATTATAACACACGGTTCAAGAAGCTGTCTGTTCATATGACTGTACAGATTGAGTAGCCTTCTCCACTGCTTTGACAAAGAAAAAGTTTAAAAGAAGGATTTTGTTTTTCATTATTTTAATTTTTTTATCTTATTGTACCTCAGAACTTATAACTCTGTCAGAAATGCAATAAACTGTAAATAATCATTGGACAAATGACTGAATAAGTAATTAAAGTGCAACAATTTGGGGGTGTTGTCTTTTCTTTTTTTTGTTCTGGGGATCAAACCCAAGATGTTGTACTTGCTAGACAAGTGCTTTGCCCCTGACCTACATCCCAGCCCAAGTGCAGCAATTTATATTCCACATTCAACTTTCTCTTTTTATTGTAAATCTAATAAATTTTCCAATCAAGAAAGAAAACATAGCATGTTACAGAAAGTGTACCTGAAATCATATTTCTCCTAATAATTTTAGTATGTATGAGCATTGCAATTGCAACACATTGAACTAAATAATGAGTAAAACATATATTTCATAACAATCATGTTTATTATGAAGAATTTTCAGCTGGACACTGGTTGCTTGTGCCTATAATTCTAGCTACTCAGGAGGCTGAGATCTGAGGATCGTGGTTCAAAGCCAGCCTGGGCAAGAAATTCCATGAGCCTATTATCTCCAAGTAACCACTAAAATGCCAGAAGTGAAACTGTGGCTTAAGTTGTGGAGCTCTAGCCTTGAGCACAAAAGGTCAAGGACAGTACCCAGGCCCTAAGTTCAAACCCCAGGATTGGCACACAAAAAAAAAGCAAAAATCAGAAAAAGAATTTTCACTATTCTAAAACTATTGTTAATATAAATAACAAAAGTTACTTTGGCATTAAGATGTTTACTGTTCTGAGTTTGCTCCAGGTTTGGTGAAGTACTAAGAAGCAGACCTCCTGGTCTCTGTAGATTGCATAAAAGGCATAAGGATGGAATTCTGTAAGTAACTTGACAGTGACTACTTTTTTTAAGTTAATATATTTGGTACAATGAATGCATGACTTTGATCAAGATGCATTGTACTCACAAACTGACAAATTGAGTTGAAACACCTCTGTACAACTCCTTAAAGATAATAAAAATGTTATATGTATTTTATTTTATAATGTATTATATATTATATTTATAATATATGTGATATATTATTTTATAGTATTTTTTAAATGAATGGAAGAAAGTCAAAAGTTTAAAATATGGACTGGGAATGTGGCTTAGTGGTAGAGTGCTTGTCTAGCATACATGAAGTCCTGGGTTTGCTTCCTCAGTACCACATAAATAAAAAACTGGAAGTGGTGCTGTGGCTCAAGTGGTATACTTTGAGCAAAAAATAAAAATAAAAAACTCAGAGACCGTGCCCATTCTCTGAGTTCAAGCCTCAGCACTGGCAAAAAAAAAAAGCAACTTTAAAATATGAATAGGGTCTTACCCAGCTATATGTCCTGAACTTTAACCAGGACATATGAATGAGCCTAGGCCAACAGCTTTAAGAAAGTTGCTAGCAAAATATCCAAGGATTTAATCTAGTCTCAATTTCTAATTCATTTAATGTCACAAAGACTTTTTCTACTTTCTGCACATCAAAGGCAACTCTTCTATTCATTATTTAATTGATACAAAACCAGGAAAGTCTGTGAGACTCTTATCTCCAATAAACCACTCAGAAAACCAGAAGTGGTGCTATGGTTCAAGTGGTAGAATGTTCACCTTGAGCTGAAGAGCTAAGGAACAGTGCCCAGGCCCAGAGTTGTAGCCCCATGACCAAAAGAAAAAAGAAAGAAGAAAAGTAAGGTGATGAATGTACAAAACTATAGAACTTACAATGTACAAACTATAGAATTTAAGATTCAATTCTTAGCGAATTTAAGGCACACAGTACGTGTGTATATGTATGTGTATGAGAGAGAGAGAGAGAATTCAAGCCAGTTCTGAGGCTTGAATTCAAGACCTAGCACAGTCCATTAGCTTTTTCACTCAAGGCTGGCACTTGAGCTGCAACTTACTTCTAGCATTTCGTTGGTTACTAGAGATAAGAGTCTAAACTTTCTTACCCAGGCTATCTTCAAAACACAGCTCTCAGATCTCAGTCTCCCAAGCAGGCCTGTGGTTTTATATTCTAGAGAAGGTGACAGGCAGCACATTGTCTTAGGAAACAAGTCATAACATGCAATAGAGCAGCTTAGCTGACTGGGGGAGTTAGGAGAGGTACGGTACAGACAATCCAGGGAAAATTATGGGCTGCAAAAGAAATCATATGTAGGGAACATAACTTCTGCTTTCAGTTATTTAAGACTTCAGTATCACCATCATGGGAAATAGAATTGACTTACCTGTGTAACTTAAACAAGGTTAAATTTAGTTATTGACCTATGAAGTTCTAAGAGACAAATTTGTCTTGGTACTTTAAGAGAACCAGAGCTCCTAGGATGAGGAATGGGCTGGACTGCTCAACAAATCCAGGTGCTGGGGGAGAGGGGCTGATGGAGAGGAAACTAGGTAGACAGTTTCAAACATTTTACAGATTCCTAGATGTTCTGCACTGCCTCCCTAAGGAGGCAAAGGAGCCTGAGACTCCTACCCACAGTTTCATTCTTATCTGCTTTTACTGGCCTTTGATTTATGAAACTTTGGCTAAAGAAGCAATTGAGCAGCTATTTTTCTTCCAGTTTATACTCAGTTTTGCTTCAAAATAAAAAAGTGTGTGTGTAGACTATTCAAGGGAAGATGATTCATCATCAATGATTCATCCATTACTGAGACTCAGAATCATAGTAGTGTTTGAAATTAAATGGCGCTTATTTCAAACCAGTCTCTAGTATATCTATGAGTTACTGGTTTAGCAAATAGATTTAAGTGAACCACTTAAATTTCTCTTTTCATACCTTCATAAAAGAGTAGGATGAAGTACACTTCCTTTTAGCTTAAAGATCGAATGAGATAATGTCAACATTTGCCAGAAAAGTATTTGCAAAATCTAAATGTTGAGAATTGTTCATTTCTTAATTCCTTCTGTTTTTCTAACAGCTTTGGGATCCCAGAACAAAACAAGACATTTTGTGAGTGAGTTTATTCTCCTGGGTTTCAGTGCTCAAAAAGAGATGCAGAGTTTTTTCTTCTCAATGATACTGATTCTCTATTTCCTGACCTTGCTGGGAAATGGGGCAATTGCATGTGCTGTGAGATGGGACAGGAGGCTCCACACACCCATGTATATAATCTTGGGAAACTTCTCCTTTTTAGAGATCTGGTATGTTTCCTCCACTGTCCCAAACATGTTGTTCAATATTCTCTCTGAGACTAAGACCATCTCCTTCTCTGGCTGTTTCCTCCAATTCTATCTATTTTTTTCCCTTGGTACAACAGAGTGTTTCTTCTTATCAATTATGGCTTATGATCGGTACCTTGCCATCTGTCGTCCACTACATTACCCTTCCATCATGACTGGAAAGTTCTGTGTAATCCTGATCTGTGTGTGCTGGGTGGGTGGATTCCTCTGCTATCCAGTCCCTATTATACTCATCTCCCAGCTTCCTTTCTGTGGACCTAACATCATTGACCACTACCTGTGTGATCCAGGCCCATTGTTTGCACTGGCCTGTGTCCCTGCTCCTTCCATTAAGCTTATGTGTTACACTTTCAACTCCATGATTATCTTTGGGCCCTTCCTCTCCATCTTGGGATCATACACACTGGTTCTCAGAGCTGTGCTCCGTATTCCTTCTGGTGCTGGTCGAAAGAAAGCTTTCTCCACATGTGGGTCCCATCTAATGGTAGTGTCTCTCTTTTATGGGACCCTGATGGTGATGTATGTGAGCCCCACATCAGGAAGTCCAGCCAGAATGCACAAGGTTGTCACTTTGATTTACTCAGCAGTGACTCCATTCTTAAATCCCCTTATCTACAGTCTTCGAAACAAAGACATGAAAGCTGCCCTAAAGAAAGTCCTGGGATTAACAACTAGCCCAACCTGAGACAGCTTCAACAGAGAACATAATGGATTATTTATTTTAAGAGTGAAAGAAATATTTTTATTGACCAGATTAATGGAATTTACTGTGATTTTTCTTCTAGGCATACATTTGTGAATTGGTCATGTTCATCTACCTCTCTACTTTTAGCCCACACCCCACAACCATCCCAGTCCTTAATAATTCATCTTCTACTTTTAAGTCAAGTTTGAAAACTAATTAATAACCTCTATTCATCAGGTAATTATTTTTTCTTTTTAATTTCCATGCATGTAAAATAGATGTAATGCTTAACCTTCTGTGTTTGGCTTACTTTGTTTTAATATAATGTCTCCAGTTTTATCCATTTTGCCTTAAATGACAGGATTTCATTCCCCTTTGAATAATGCATCATATATGAATATATGTGCTATGTATATGATATGTATGCATATGTAAAAATATATGTGTGTATATGCCATATATTTATCCATTTATACATTAACTGTCACCTACACTAATTGTATAACTTAACTATTGTGAAATAGTGCCACAATAAACATGGACAAGTAGGTATCTCTTGTGTATGTTGATTCATTTACTTTTTATTTATACCCAGGTGTGGTACAGCTAGATCACATACTCCTTTGTTTATCTGTTTGGTTATTTTTTATTTTTTTCAGTACTGAGGTGTGAACTCAGGACCCTGCACTTGCTAGGAAAGCATTATACTACTGAGCCATACCTCCACCTCTACTTTTAGTTTTTGAGAAGCCTCTATACTGTAGTCTCCCATGGTGGCTGTACTAATTTGTTTTGTGATTGGATCACTTCTGAGTTTAGCTATTTATGATACCAGTGAAGAATACCTTCTGCTAAACAGGGTACTCACTCACACTTAAACAGGAGAGACTTTCATAATTCCTTAACAGTTTACATTCAGCTCACTTGTGATAAATGTCAATAAATATTTTAACATGCATGGCTTTACTGAATAATTATGTGATGACAATAGATATCAACAATAAGTATGTATATGTAATTGTATATATATGTACATATATTTTCTTTGTCAGTTGTGGGGCTTGAAATCTGGGTCTGAGCACTGTCCCTCAACTCTTCAGCCCAAGGCGAGCACTCTACCACTTGAGCCACAATGTCACTTCTAGTTTTCTAGTGGTTTATTGGAGATAAGAGTCTCATGGACTTTCTTGCTGGGGGCTGACTTTGAACTATGATCCTCAGATCTCAGCCTCCTGAGTAGCTAGTATTACCGGCACCCAGCAATATTTGTATCATTTTTATGTAACATATTTGCTAGTTTTAACTTTAGCTGACAGAAGGAACCAATTACATATATACCTGACACCTTTCCAAAGAGTGCAATTTTTCAAACTGAGAAAATCTTCTTAAAGACAATGAGCAAACAGCCACATAAATAAAACTAGCAATGGACAAAATAACGTTCCATGGTTAGAGGCTAGCTTTTACACCAAAATCAGAGTAGGCTTCACACCTATATGCTTCATACCAAGAAATAAAGTTTTTAGAAAAATCTTCCTTTTAGTCATCCAAAGCCCTCACTTAAGACTTCTCTCTTTGGTTTTCTGTCCTGTGGACTCACTGCAGAGCTTGGCTTCATGATCAGCCTCTTAGTCTACCTCAAACACATTTACTCCCAACTATTTTTTCTCATAGCACTTTTCCTCAAGTCAATATCACCACATATGACATGTGATATCCCCAATATCACATGATATGGAATAACACATTTTTATTTCTACACTGCAGAGAACAACATGAGCCTATCAGAAGACTTTACAGGACCAAGTTTCAGTCAAAGTAAATTAGGACCAGAACAAGTACTATTTTTGTAGCCAACACCTATGCTAAAACAAGAAAATCAGCAGCTGAAAGACCAGTATATTCAAAATAAGAGCCCACACTTTAAGTTATGAACACCTCATGATTAATTAGAAGTGCAACACGGGTTACCCGTGTGGGTGATGAAATACTTGAGTGCATTTCCCTCAAGCATGGTTAGTAACTGAGGTCAAAGGACACTTATAATTTGGAATTTTTTTTTTTTAATTTCAAATGGGGGCTGGGAAGGTGGCTCAATGGTAGAGCTCTTGCCTTGTATGCATGAGGCCCTGGGTTCAATTCCTCAGTACCACATAGCAAAAAGAAAAAAGCTGGAAGTGGCGCTGTGGCTCAAGTGGTAGAGTGCTAGTCTTGAGAGCTGAAGAGCTGAGAGACAGCGCCCAGGCCCAGAGTTCAGGCACCCCACGACCAGACTCAAAAAAAAAAAAAAAACTTCAAATGGACGTACAAGAGGGTTATGACTGAACATGTCCATTTATGTTTCAAGTGCTTCTTTATTAGAGTCACTCCTTCTATCATTGTCCTCCATCCTGTCTGTCCCTTCCTCTCAGACTCATTTCTCATTTCCCAATTCCTTTATCAGCTGTATTTGTTCTCTGTTCCCTTTTTTTTTTAGCTTAACTTTGATTTTTTTTTTTAGTTTTTTATTGTCAAGGTGAGGTACAAAGGGGTTACAGTTACGTAAGTAAAGTAATAAGTACATTTCTTGTCAAACTTGTTACCCCCTCCCTCATTTTTCTCCTACTTTCTCTCCCCCCTCAACCCTCCCTCCTCCCCTGCAAGTTGTACAGATCATGTTCTACATACTGTCTTGTAAGTATCACTGTTGCATTGGTTCCCCCTTGAACTTTGTCTCACCATTTTTGTTATTCCCCTTCCCTTTCCTAATTCAGATGCCAGGGTACTGTTAGGTTTTTAAAAAGAGGTGACCAAGTAAAAACAGTGCACGTGGTATTCAGGTAAGGGGTAGGTTTATTCATCGTTCAGGCTGGCACCAGGCCATCTTGGTCCTCCACGCGGTGGGGAAAGGCCTGGGAAAGAGAGAGAGATGGGGAAAAGAGCTAAGAGAGAGCTAGAAAAGAGAGAAAATAGCTAGAAAAGAGAAGAGCTAGATAAGAGCTAGAAAAGACTAGAGAGAGAGAGAGAGAGAGCAGAGAGCTAGGAAAGAGAAGAGAGAGGGATCTGGGCCTGGCTAGGCCTTATCCAGGGTATGGGTGGAGAAAGGTGTGGCCACATCAAATTCAGATGTGACCTCTTCCAGGCGTCACAGTTGCCTAGGTAATGCAGGTACTGGGTGGAGACTTTGCTGCGAGGAGGGTGGAGTCTGCTAGCCATCCAAGAGCGGACCTTACAGGTACCAAACTCAAATCAAATACAGTGACAACAGGGGATAAACCATAGGGGGAAGAACACACAAAAGAAACAAAAAATCACATAACACATTGAAAATGACAACAATGAAAATCTTCTTGTGTCCCTATCCACTTTTTTACTCATTCACCCCAATACCACCAGCCCCACCACTCAAACTTTTTTCATCTTCCTGATATGCATTTTGTTAAACTGCTCATTGTTTAAAAGGCTTACTCCATGGAATTTCACTCCTGAATATACTATGCTTTACTCAACTTATATGCCTCTGTGTATGTTTACATGAGAGGTTGTATTTGGAATCTAAAATCTTTAAATGAGTGAAAAATGTGCCTTTTGCCTTTCTGTGTTTCACTCCATATATTTTCCAGATTCATCCATTTCTCTGCAAATGATATAATTTCATTCTTCCTGGTGGCTGCATAAAATTATGTTGAATAGCTGAGCACTAGTGGCTCCTGTCTGTTATACTAGCTATTCAGCAGGCTGAGACCTGAGAATCACAGTTTCAAGCAAGCCCTGGTAGGAAAGTCCTTGAGACTCTTATATCCAATTAACAAAACAAAAGACAAAAGTAGAGGTGTGGCTCAAATGATAGATCACTAGCCTTGAACAAAAAATGCTAAGGAACTGTGTGCAGGCCAAGTTCCAGCCCCAGTACCAACACTAAAAAATAAATTAAATTTTAAAAATTTCTATTGTAAATTCTATTGTAAATCAGCCTACACTAAACAAACGGAAAGAACTGTAATCATCACCTGATGTGGAAGAAATAATTTGTATTGTCAAAGCTCATAGAACTCACAAACTTTACAGATAATGATAATTTGCCTTGTGAAGGTTAAAATGTGTTTGTGACTTTGACTAAGTATCACTATTCCACAATACTGTGAAATGTGAAATTTATGTAATCACCTAATCTCCATTTTAAAAAAAAAGTAAGAGAAGGGACGGGTTAGGAGTGATAGGTGACAATGTTGCCAGACACTTGTACTCATATATGTAAGGTCCACTCCTGGATGGCTAGCAGACTCCACCCTCCTTGCAGCAAAGTCTCCACCTAGTACCTGCGTTACCTAGGCAACTGGGACACCTGGAAGAGATCACATCTGCATCTGCTGAGGTCACATCTGAATTTGATGTGGCCACACCTTTCTCCGCCCATACCCTAGATAAGGCCTAGCCCAAGCCCAGATGCTCTCTCTCTGCTCTTTTATAGCTCTTTCTCAGCTCTTTCCTTCTCTTCTCTTTCCCAGCTACCTTCTCCTTCCTACCTCTCTCTTTCGCACCTTTCCCAGATGCTCTCTTTTCTAGCTCTTTTCTCTCTTTTCTAGCTCTTTTCTCTCTTTTCTAGCTATTTTCTCTCTCTTTCCCAGCTCTCTCTCTTTCCCAACTCTCCCAGCTCTCTTTCCCAGGCCTTTCCCCACTGCGTGGAGGACCAAGATGGCCTGGTGCCAGCTGGAATGATGATTAAACCTACCCCTTACCTGAATACCACGTGTGTGGTGCTGTTCTTACTTGGCTACCTCTTTTTAAAAACCTAACAATATACAGTTTTGTAGAATGGGAACTTCTTTGTACAACTATTTAAAGATATAATAATAAAAAATGTAAAAAAAATTCTATTGTAAATCTAGATAGGTGGATACCATATTGTTATGATCCATTCATCTGTTGTAGGGCATTTGTATGTTTCCATAACTTGGCTACTGTGAACTCTGCTGCAATAAACATGTATACATATGCAAGCTCTTTTTTTAAAGAGGACA